GCGGGGACAGCTTGGTGCGGGGGACAGTTTGGTGCGGGGACAACCCGGCGCGGGCTCCGTGACACCGGCTCCAGCCAAACGAGCTCCCGGCGAAAGGACCATCTGCGCCGCGAGCAGGAGCAGCTCCAGGTCCTCACCTGCTTCCTCCTGTGCGGGCACCTGGAGCCCGAGCGCGCGGGGAAGGCAGCGCGGGGTCCCCGGGGGACACCACTGCTCGCAGGAGCCTGTTCATCCCCACACCAGCCCCGGAGCACTCGGGGTCCCCCCGGGTGTGCAGCAGCATCCGACCCAGGGCAGGCAGTGCCCGTGGAAGCACTGGGGATCCTGGTCCTGCTTCTTGGGCGTTTGGAACCAAATCGTACCTACACGTTGTGGAATAAAGAGATGGGGAGATTCATCACCTGAAAAGTGTTGGGGTTTTGGTTGTTTTTCAAACAACAGCATCACTCTGCAAACAGGAAAAACGTATTTTTCTGCCACCGACAGAGCAGTTATGTTTTATGATAGGTCTTAAAACCTCTCTATTGTTGCATCAAAGGCAAAATTCCTCCTTCAGCATCACTCCCGTGGCCTCTGGAATGTCCTCGGGCTCCAGCGGGTCCCGGGCTGGGCTGCCCCGGAGGCAGCTGCGGAGCTGGAGAGTTCATATATTGACCAAAAAAACAGTGGCTGCCCCGCTGATGCTACTGAGAACTCGCCCAGCTGGAGAAATCCCTCATTTCCTTGCAGTCATCTGTTTTCCCTGCTGGGAATTAGCCTGGAATTCAAGTTACTGGAGCTGCCGGCAGGAGGGACAGCCCTCGGCAGCTCCTAGCGGCATTTTCCACTCGCTGCTGCCAAACACGAGAGATTCGTTTCCTTCGGCGCTCGAGGTTTCACTTTCGAGTTCAGCCTGGCGGCTGCTGGGAGGGGTTTGGCTTTCCTGGAAGTGATTCCAGTCGCTTTTCCCGAAAGGAAGAGCAGATTCCCTCCTCGAGGCGCTCCGGGAGCTGATCCCTGGTGCAGCTCGGAGAGAGACAGCATCACCCTGGCTGGCTGCGCCCGGGAACAGCCTCTCCCCTGGGGACAGGTGAAGGGATGAGACTGCAGCAGCTCAAAACATAACGGGACTTTCAGTTCCCTTTTGGGTTTCTCCCCTTCTCTCTGTGCCACGGAGGTTTAGATGTTCAGACACAAATGTGGCACACACGAAGCTCTGCCTGCGCTGGGGCTTTGTGGCAGCTTGTGGAGCTTCAGCAACTGCAGCTGCTGCCACGTCATGGGTGAAACTTCCCCTTCCTGGGGCAGCAGGACAGCGGCTGCTGGGGCCAGAGCAGGGAGTGGAGCTGCAGCTTTGGCCTTCGCGTGGGACAGGGCACAGTCCCCGCCCTGGGACCAGCTGGGGCAGCCGTGGGAGGGGACAGGGGGAGAGATGCTCTCCGTGCCCACGCTGTTCCTGGTAGAGGTCCCAGCAGCGTGGGCACGTGCTGCAGGGCCACGTGGTTTCTGGGGTTCCTGCCCTGCAAGGTGTTTTCTCCTTCCATTTCAGAACAGAAGCTTCTCCAAGAAGAGTCACCCTTTCCTGCCTAAAATATTTAGGAAAATGTCTACTCAGTCGGTGAAGGAGAGACCTGAGAGTTTGCAGTTCCCATTCCTGGACGATGAAGACACCATCTCCACACTCAAAGAATCCAAAACCTTTTTCATCCTCCGGGGCCTGCCTGGCAGTGGGAAGTCCACCCTGGCCCAGGCCATCCACGACCGGTACAAAGATGCCTGCAGGGTCATCTCTGTCGACCACTATAAAATCACCCCGTCGATAAGAAGCTCCGTTCCTGATGAGTACTCCAAGGTGGACGAGGATCTAGTTGACTATTGCAAACGGGAGATCAGCGTCATCGTTTTGGATGACACTCACCACGAGCGGGAACGGCTGGACCAGCTCTTTGACATTGCTGACAAGTACAGGTACAAAGTCATCTTCGCCGAGCCCAAAACGCCGTGGCGCATGGATTGTCTCCAGCTGAAGGACAAGAACCAGTGGAAACTGTCTGCGGAGGAGCTGAAGAAGATGAAGCCAAGCTTGGAGAAGGAATTCCTCCCCATGTATTTTGGGTGGTTTTTGAGCAAAAGAAGTTCAGAGACCCTGAGGAAAGCTGGCCAGGCCTTCTTGGATGAGCTTGGGAGCCTCAAAGCCTTCAAAAAGGAGAGTAAATACTGTATGTATAGACGTTGTCTTACCACTTTCTTGCTCTGTTGATGCTAACAAGTCTAATCAGCTTCTAAAGTAAATTTCTAGTTAAAACTGTCAACAAGATAAGCTTTTTAAAGCTGCTAACCTGGTTCCCATAGCTGGCAAAGTTGATTTTGTAAGTAAAACTAGATTAAATGCTTTTTCCCAAGAACTCTGTTCAGCTCTGGGCCCCATGGGACTCGGGTGGCAGCAGAGGTCGTGGGGTCCCAGGTGACCAGTGGTTCTGCTGGACTGGGTGGGAGTCAGAGAGAAACAGAAAAGGCTGAACAATCCTATCCTTTAAGGGATTCAGATCACTGGGATTGGGATGAGCGACAAGATGTGCAGGAGCTTTTGTTCTCAGGCTCCATCTGCAGCGATCCTGGGGGAGGGAGAGGATCCAGTGCTCCCCAGGAGTCAGAAGGATGAGGTGTGAGGGGTGAGGTGGGGAAAGAAGCTGAGATGGGACTCAGGCTCCTTGGTGACATCAGGGGATCACTTTAGATGTTGTTTACCTGTGTTGGCAGTTTCTCCTGCTGTTGAAGATCCCAAAATGAAAATAGATCTCACCAGCTACTTTGTGAAGAGGCCACCTGGGGTCCTGCACTGCACCACGAAATACACCGAGTTCGGGAAAGCAGCTGGCGCAGAGGAAATGACTAAAGTAACACGTTATAAAGATGTAGTCAAAAGACAAGACATCTGACTCCTCTGCTGCTAAAACGAGCCTCAGGGTGGGCTGGGGATGGGCTTTGCTCGGAGCCAGAGGCCAAACATAGGGACAGGAACGATGTCCATGTGGCCTGTGCAAGAGAAAGCTCCTAACTGTGGAGATGGGGCTGGTTCTTGTTTCCAAACAAAATACTCCCACCTCCCCCCCATCACTCCCAACCTCCAGCATCATCTCTGACAGCTTGAGCTGAACCATGATGAGTTACTTACACTCAGATTATTGCAAAGCAGATAAACCCAAGTTAAATACTGGAACTGGTGAAGCACAAAGATGTAACCAGCTCCGAATCCACAGAGCTGGAACATCCAGCCCTGACCTTCTCCTTGCACTCAGTATTTTGACTAAGTCACAGCCAGAGCTGCTGTGAGCAGCCACGTCCCCAAACCCAAGGACAATGAGCCCAGGGCAGCACCACAAATCTCATCTGCAGGCACTGACGCCGCTCCGTATGCCTCTCCCTCTCCTCCAGGCTGTGAAGGCTTCCTATGGCAAAGGCTTCACCCTCTCCATCTCGGCACTGTTCATCACCACAAAGACTGTCGGGGCTCGCATCGAGCTGAGCGAGCAGCAGCTGCTGCTCTGGCCTGGGGATGCTGACAAGATCCTGCCCACGGACAACTTCCCGCGGGGCAGCCGCGCGCACATCACCCTTGGCTGCGCCAACGGCATCGAAGCTGTCCAGACTGGGCTCGATCTGCTGGAGTTCGTCAAGCTGGAAAAGGCAGGGAACAAAGGGGAGCAAGTGGGGGAAATCGGAGGAGGGAAACTGCTGTATTTTGATAAGGGCATGTGGATGCTTGTGCTCTCTAAAAAGATCGATGTAAGGGCAATATTCTCGGGATACTACGGGAAGGGAAAACTTGTGCCGACGCAGAGCAGCAACAAACGAGGCTCTGCCTTTAGCTCCTGCACCATCATCTAGGAGTAGGGCAGGGCCTCGGTTTGGTTTGAAAGGCAAGTAACTTCCATAACCTTAAAAGTGTAAAGAGAAATAATTCTACCTTTACTAAAGTCAACCCTTTGCCCACCCCAGTGTAAAGCCTCTGGGGAGAGTTATCAGCCTCGGGACAAGGAAGGAAACAAGCAACACCTGACTGAAACTGTCACAGATTTTAATGGGAGGGTTTTGGAGGGAACCAGCCAGGGTGTCCTGCTTGTTTCCTTCCTTGGAGGAAGATCAACTCTGGGCTTTTATCGTTTCCCTCTGAACCACAATCGTTAGATCTTTACCTGTTGGCACTGCCCAAAGCCTGTCGGTCGCTGGTCTGAAGCCGAGGGAACTGCAGGATGTCTCTCCTCTCCCACATCCAAGGACTGACAACAGCCATTCTGGCAGCCAATTATGGGGTCAGAACAGCGAGACCCAGGGCTGGGTCACTCCTGTCTGCTGCAGGTCACTTCTGTCCAGCGTAGCCCTTACCAAGAGTTGGCCCCTCAGGACAGACCCACCTGCAGGTCCCACAGCTGCCCAGCCAGGCCCCAGCCCAGTCCTGTCCCTCACAGCAGGGCAGAGACTCGCTGGGGACAGGCAGGAGGAGGGCACAGTGCCAAGTGATGTCTTAAAGACACCAACCATGGACTTAGGGGGGCAACAAGTGACACACCAGGACAGGCAGCCAGTTCCTGCAGCACAGCTCCCTCCACCTGGGCTGGACCAAGCACTGTCCTGTGTCCATGTCCTGTAGGGAACAATCCTGCCTCGGCAGGGAGTGGAAGAGATGAACTAATGTCTTTTCCATCTTATTTGATAGAAACTAAAATCATGTGTGAAGTACAGAACTGCACTTCATGCAGGATTTTACTCCCTCTAATGCACTTGAATGTTGAGAGTTAGGCTGGAGTAACCCTGTAGAGTAGGAAGTGGAGGCACTGTAACTGCATAACAAAGTCTGATCGAACCTAAACCTCTGCCTGGAACTTACTGACTCAGCACTTGTGTCATTAAGTGTTTTATTGAACCCTGTGTTTGTGCTCTGCCAGGCCCTGGGCCAGCAGCTCCTGAGCACAACTTAACATGATGCTCCACTAACGGCCCCGGGTCAGGTCACAGCTCGACCTCCTGCTCTGGCCCAGGGTCTAGGGAGCTGCAGAGTGACATTAACCTGCACTAACCCTGTACATACTGACCGTGTTTGAGGCGTGTGCTGGGCTGGGGCTGTGCTATGGGCACAGCTCACCCCAAGCCCAATGCTGCCAGGGCAGAGTGTTTCTCCTCCCAGTGCTGAGGCCAAAAGCAGGGAGAGGTCTGGGGCTCCTCTGGTACCAAACTCTGCCAGGAAATCTAAATACTTCCTGCTGTTTCAAAGCAAAGGATAATAATAATTAGTCATTATAACATAAAAGAGTGACCTCTCCACCCAGCCAGAGCACCTGTAACCCCCCCTGCCCTGCGTGGAGAAACCCTTCCAGCCTCCGTGCCCAGCGCTCAGCCAGGGCCCATCCTGACCCACCCACGAGTGTTTGTTCCACCACAGCTCTAAAGGCATTTGGCAGCACCTGCCCAGGCTGAGCCCACACTCCAGCACCGGAATTGCACGGCTGGAACATCTCCTCCTCTGCCTGGTCAAGAACAACAGTGACACTGTCGTCGTTTCAGTTTTTATTAGTTTGTACATCATATACAGTTTATAATAAAGTAAACCGATTGCATATGGGTCTGCTTCAGGCTGATTCCCCGTACAAACACGGCATCAGGAGTTCTGCTAAGGAAGTAAACAACAAATATTCACATTTTTACCATTCACATCCTAGAAAGGTCCAAGAGGGACAGTCGGCACCGATGCGGAGCCCAGCTGGGAGAGGCTGAGGAGTTTGGCAAAGCGATGGGACAGCGATTGCTCCATGCAATTCCCTTTCCTCCCAGGGAAAGGGTGAGCTATGTACACTGAGGTAAACATTCCGAGTTCCGAGTCAGATAAATACGGCAGCACAGGGACAAGCTCCTCTCCAAGTGGCTTCGCATCGGTGCCTGGGTTTGTCCTGCATGCAGCGAGGGGCTGGGGGTGCTCCCTGCAGCCCCTCAGCTCTCTGTCCACACTGCCATCCAGGGGCAGTGGGGATGGGGGAGTCAGGCTGGGAGGGCAGTTCAGAGCCCTGCTGGATGCAGCACCTCAACTTCCAGTGGATCCTGCCTGCCCAGGCCACCCCCAGTGTCCCAGCTCACTGCTCCCAGCAACAGAGCAGAGCTGTCCCTGCTCCCAGGAGGGATAACCCATCCCTGACCACAGCAGCAGGGAGAGCTGGACCTGGCCAGGAAGGCCGAAGTGTTACACATCAGGTCCCACAGGGCACAGGGACACCCCAAGCAGCCGCCCCAGAGTGGAGGGCAGGAATGGACACCAGCTGCTGCCACCTGCCCCAGCCCCTGGGGACGGGCACTGCTCCAGGGATGTGGGTGGGTGCAGCACACGGGTGTCCTGTTCCCTAGGGAAGGGGCAAGGCACAAATTTAAATGGGATGAAAACCATCCACTGGAGATCAGGGAGTATCTGAAGTTATTACTGAAACTGAGGAAGTCATTTGGAAAGAGCAAAGCAGTGTGGCCCATTCCATGGGCTCAGAGCCAGGCCAGGGACTGGAGCTGGGACCAGCTTCCACTCTGTATTCCAGCAGATACAGAGAGCAGAGGGACCACTATTCCACGGATAATGGATAATACTGTTGTCCCTGAATGCTTTTTGCTTTTTCCTGTTTTCCAGCTTGCATTGCTGTATGCACACCAGGCAGCAGCTGCCAAAGATCCCACACACTGAACACTCCCAGGATCACAAACCAACCTGGCACTTCCCTGTGCAGCCAAAGCAACAAGGAGCCAGTCAGAGAGGGCAGCCAGAACCCTCTGAATGGTCTCAGCTTTCCACCCAAACCATTCCATGATTCTATGAGCACAATCAGGCAAAACCACATCCGAGGGAAAGCCTAAGAGCCAAACAATTCCTGACCTCCAGGCCAACACTGCAGTCCTACAGCAGAGCCCACATACACTTTTTCTGTAGCCCACCACTTTCTCAGAGAAGTCAACAGCCACTCAGTAGTCCTCAAGCTGTTCAGAGCAACTACTCCCAGCATGACTGGTGGGAGATTCCATCACAGGAGCTGCCCAGAGTCACACCGAGGAGCACAACAACTCTGCCCACACATGTCCATCCCACTGTGCCTGTGCCTTAGGGGCAGCACCTACAGCACCTGCTCCTGCCACCCCTGGCAGATCTTTGCCCCTCGAGAAACAGCTCAGACACATCCCCTGGAGACACTCACTCGTGGGCTCTGTGGCAGATCCCTGCAGCTGGTGGCTCCCACGGAGCTGAAGGACACAGGGGAGGGCTGCGCGTGGCACCACATGGAGCAATGGCCCTCAAGTCCCTGTGCCTACACACAACCACAACCCACGGAAAACGTCCTGGAAGCTAGTGTGTGTGTGGAGGCCACGCAGAGCAATGCACATCTGAACACATTTTTGGGAAAGCAGCAGTGTCCCATGTCCCCAGGCCGCGCTGGGACGCAGCAGAGGTCACAGTGCCACCAGGCCCTGATGCTGCCCTGAGGCCACGGGTGTCACTGAGCCCTGCTCCGTGTCAGGGGCAACAGACACTGGACAGGGCTTGGGGCACCCTGGGCTAGTGGAAAGTGCCCCTGTCCCTGGCAGGGGGTGGACTGGACCTTTGAAGGTCTTTCCAGCCCAAACCCCTGTGTGGTCCTACCATTCACTCTGAGTCCTCTAACACCTCTCCTTGGGAGTCTTGGCACTCACTGTAGGACTATTTAACTACATTAAGTCATGCATTCATGTACACATTATAAATAGCTGTTGTACACATTTTCTCTCCCAGCAGCAGAGCCATTCCACTGGAGGGAGGAAGCTTCCCTGGGGCAGGGGGATACGAGGATAATTCACTGACAGGACACAGCTCTGCTCAGCAATGGGAGACTGACAGCAGCCCAGACTGTACAGTGACATCAACACACACACAGACATCGTGGATCCAGAATGGCACTACCCAGGCCCTGCGAGCTCTGATTTACAGCGCCAGGAGAGCTGGGCAAGGATCAATGTGCATAGACCAGGATTCCAGTTCCCCAGGCATTCACCAATTCAGAGCCTGAAAGGTGCCAGGACCAACTGCTCTGGGTGCACCTGGGTGGGTCTACCCCTCACACCAGTGTGAAGGACATTGGAATAAACATGGTAGTTGGGTTTTGAAAGTATTACTCAGCACTGGCCCACTGTGAAAGCTCAGTTTCAGGTGAGTTGTAAATTATTCAGCAGTGCTAAATTTTAAGCCCTTAAATCTTCCCTCCGCAAGAGCAGATTGTCAAGAATCCTGACCAGACACCACGGCAGGACACAGCACTGCGGTGATAGCACCACGACAGCTCTGCCACTGCTGGGACCTCACGGCCCTGTGCCTGTCCCTGTCCTGCTGGAAGGACTCACACAGCCCTTGAGAGGGAGGAAGACAAAGACATGGTGTTCAGAGCATCATCTCATGCCATGAACACACTGCAGGGTTTGTTCCTGCAGGAGGAAGGTAAATCAGGTGTTAAGAGTCAGTGTCAGGCTCTCTCTCCACACAGCTCTGCCTGTGTGTGCCAACACCTGTTCTCTCAGCCAAACAAACTCTAGCTCCAATGGCCTCACAGTGCTGGGCACAGCCCCATTGAGCACTGGCCCAGGACCCCCAGACACAGCCCTGCTGCCTCTTGCTCCCCTCACACCCCACACAGCCACCAGGGACTGCACCCAACCTCACTGCACTCCAGAACCCTCCACGTCAGGACTGGCCTCACACAGAACACCTGGGCAAAGGGTTCTGCACTCTCCAGAGAACAGGGCAGGCTCTGGAAGCAGAGCCCTCCCCCAGCCGAGCCCCTGCTCTAACACTACCTTTGAGGTGAAAGCCAACCCACCAAGGGGCAGAGCCCCACACCAGCCCCATCCTCACGCCAGCCCCATCCTGACGGCGGCGGCGGCAGGACGCGGCTCTGGGCCCGAGGCTCTCCCATCCCTCCAGCTCCGGTCCTGACACTGCGAGAGAAGCAAGTGCAGACTGTCAGTTCAGAGCTGGACTTTGCATTTCCTTGCTGCTTTGGACAAGTAAACCACTGCCATGGCAAAACCACTCGAGCAGTGCAGGTGCTGGAGCACA